GTAAATCTAAATGATTGTGACACACTAAAAAGCCGGTGGAAATGACGCATACGACGGCAGAGGCACGTATAATTACGTTCGGCAATTGCTCGTAAAAATTCATCGGCGCGTATTCGACTGCTGCTCAACGGCGAAGGCACCAAGGCCAATAGGGACGGAACCTGAGCGGTCATGGGTGCCACAGGAGACCACCAAGAAGTATAGGGTACTCAGAGCAAGCAAAAAGAACTCACGTGGTGGGCCAACGTGGTGGTCCCTAAACGATCGGTAGTGCCTCGACAGGCTGACCTATGAAGCCCCGGTCATAGCACAGGACCCTCCGAACAAGGGTGAATTATTCAACACTATAAATTGATACCCTGTGCAATCAGGAGTGCACGGGCAGGTTAACAACACGAGTCTCGATAGGAGTGAAAAGTCAGCCGCAAATGAGACTAATGGGAAAGAGCCCTTGATCAAATTAGAGGGCCCCTGAGCATCGAGCGTCTCCGTGCTTTACCTTATAAGAGCCCTAGCAACGGCACAAGGCCCTTCAAGCAAGTAGAAAGTACCTGAAATTTATATGAATGGCCCCTGAGCAACTGAATGTACTCTGGCATATGCAGCCTCGGTGTGGTGCATGTGTGCATGCACCACACCAGTGCATGCAGCCTTTCCGGCGAATGGAAAGAATCCGTGGAGGAAAACGCGATTGATCAACATTGCTCAAGCATGGGGACAGATAGCGTCCCAGCAGCACATTGGGCCCTACGAAAAAAAAATGGGAAGAGATCAAGGGTAACGTGGAAAGCTCCTTAACGATCAGATTGACGCAATAAGTGGACATATAGGGACAGGCAGCCAATAGCGTAATGCCTGTAGACGGCGCAATAAGCCCAAAAATTTCCCCCAAGCAACGCTCTCTCAATCAGCGAATAATGAACTTTCTTTTACTTATGAACTCGCTAGTAATGGTTTTTGGTCATCTGTAGGCCAAATAAATCCAATTTTGTTGTGCTTTTGTTGTAACGAAACTGCGTCCGTCCGGCCGGTTATCAGCCCATTCGAAGCCTTAAGGTTCCCTCGGCATGGTCCAAAGGACATGATCCTGCGCCTCCCCTCCCCACCCTCTGCATCCGCCACCGGCCCGAGCAGCTGAATAAATGTGGCCCGCTAAGAACATAGGGACATCCATTCAAATAAGAAATACTCACGACACAGTGTGTAAGGTTCTAAACGATTGAGTGCGCCAGACCAGGTTAGCAGATAAGGCTCCCAAAAAGAGCGTAGATTCCTCCATTAAAATAGGGAGTATTCAAGACCCAATGCAGAGGACCCTCGAATGATCCAGTGCATCAGAGCAAGTAAGCATGTAGGGCCCGGTCAAAAGCGTAGGGCCTTCCATTCAAATAGGAAACATCCAAGACCCAATGTAGAGGGCCCCCAAATGATCGAGTGTGCCCGAGCAGGTTAACAAATAGGGCTCCCAACAAGAGCGTAAGACCCTCAATTCGAATGGGAAGCACTGAAGACCCCAAGTAAATGGCCTCAGAATGATGTAATGTGCATGAGTAGCGTATCAGAAGGAGCCTGACAAGAACGCAGGGCTCTTCATTCAAATAAGGAATACTCAAAACCCAGTGCGGAGGGCACCCAAAAGTTGAAGTATACGCGAGCAGATTATCAGGTGACCCAGACAGGAGTGTAGGGCCCTAAATTCACACACCAAGACCCAATATATGGGGCCCCCGAACAATTCCATGTGGCCGAAGCGGGGGACAGATAGGGTCCCCGACAAGTGCGTAGGTCCCTCCATTCAGGTGGGCCCCCGGATATTCGAGTGTGCCCGAGCAGGTTAACAGATGGGGCTCCGGCAAGAGCGTAGGGCATTCCGTTCAAATGTGAATTACCCACGGCACGATGTAGAAGGCCCCGAATAACCAAGTACGCCAGAGCAGGTTAACAGATAGGGCCCCCGAAAAGAGCGGAGGGCACTCCATCAGAAAAGGAAGTACCCAAAACCAGGCGTAGAGTTCCCCCACGATCGAATGGGCCCGAGCATCTTATCAGATGGGGGCCCCGACAGGAGCTTAAGCCCCCCCCCCCATTCAAATGAGAAGTACCTAAGACCCCATGCGGAGGACCCCGAAAGATGAAGCGTACCCGAACAGGTTATCAGACGACCCCGATACGGGCAGAGGGCCCTAAATTCAAACACCGAGAACCAATGTGCAGGGCCCACCAGTAATCCAGCGTGGCCGAGGAGGCAAACCTAGGGGGCCCCGACAAGTGCGTAGGGCCCCGTTCAAACAGCACGTGCCTAAGGCCCAATATAGAGGGCCCCCGAACAATCGAATGTGCCCGAGCAGGTTATCAGATAGCCTCCCCCCCCCCCCCCCCACAGAAGCGTAGGCTCCCCTTTCAGAAAAGAAGTACCAAAAACCCAGCGTAGACGGTGCCCGAACGACTGAGTGTGCCCAAGCAGGCCATTAGATGGGCTCCGACAAGGGGGTGGGGCCCTAAGCAAGTGACAGAAAATTGGATACGCCCTAGACCAATGTAGAGAACCCTTGGCCATATCGCAAGTGTGTCGGTAGGCTAACTGATACCCATGTAAAGGGCCCCTGAGCAACAGAGAATACCCCGGCAGGTTAAGGTATGGGAATCTGGCTACCGCTCACAGAGCCTTTCTGGCGAATGGACATAATCCGTGGAAGGGCCCGTGAATGACAAGAGTTCCCCGGCACGCTAACAGGAAGGGCCCCAACAACAGCGCAGGGCCCCCTGAGCAAATGCAAAGAAATAAAGGACAACGCGGAATGCTCCTAAACGACCGAAATGAACTCGCGATGGACATATAGGTCCCCCGGAAACAACATGGGCCCCTAGACGCTGTAATGGGGCTTAAAATTTCCAGTTCACAACTTTTTCAATCACTGAGTAATTTTTGGCACTTCTCATAGGCCCTTCACTTTCGCTTACAGCTGTTCTTTGTGGCCTGAAAGTCCGGAGATACCCAGTTTTGTCGAGTTTTGTGTTAAAAAACTGCACCTGTTCGTCCACCTATGGGCCCCCCGGAGCCAGTGGGCCCCTTCGGGGCTCAAGGGGGGGGGGGGCATGCCCCGTGGCCCCCTCTCTGGATCCGCCCCTGTTTGTTATCGTATGTTTTTTGGGGGACTCTTTTGTTATTTTCCACGTTTTTGCCCCTCACCCGAACTCAGTTTATCCTTGATGTGGGACTGTCGTGGGGAGAAAGTGATTGATCCTAAGCCTGAAGTGTCCCTCAGGTGACCACGATGAAATCTCAAATGGGAGCACCGTAAATCCAATATGGGGCCCGAAGGGCTGGCTAAATGCCATTGAGGGGGCGGGCGCGGGCCGATGTGCCCTTCAAGACTGACGATAAACGGGCCGATGTGAAGGCTGAATGGCCGTAGGGGTCGAAAGGCTGCAGGCCATCCTGGCCCGTATGGCTGTAATCCCAAATGTCAGCCAATATGCCTCTTTCGCCGATCGTGGACCCCTGTGACAGTGCGGACACCTATTTTGGCCGGATACCACTACACCGAATAGTTGACTTCGTGTTGTTCTGAGCCCTGGGGCCCCATTTCTTTAGCAGGAACGAGACCGAGGCCCACGATTTGCATTGGTCGGAGTCCGTACAACAAGGAGTGGTCTTTTGGCGGTCAGGCCCCCAGAGTGTCCAACAGGGGGTCCTATGATGGAATGAGCCTCGAGTCGGCCAGAGGTGGCCCGGGGCCCTTGCAAGACCCTTTATCCCTTTTCAGCCAAGGGTCCGCTGGCCAAACATGGGTCTGTGCCAGTTATTGGATCACCTGCGGTTATCAAAGATCTTGTTGCCCCATTGAGGGCTCTTGCGCCTTTTCCGGGTCAAATGCATTGGTCAGAAGCTGCCAAAGGTCCTTCCGCGCCAGGGAGAGCACCAATGTAGGACATACATCTGTGAGGGCCTCCGGACCAACCCATCAGGCGAACCCGCCTCCATATCGCCAAAATGGCAGCTGGTAGACACCCTGGGCTGGGATGGAATGATCTTTGAGCAATTGCCTGGAAGTGTCGTGTGCACGTAACTTTTCATTGATATTTACACCTTTTGCGCATTACAATACGCATTTTTAGTTGAACCTTGCACAAGCTGTTTGCCTCATTTAGATTTACGGTCAACCTTCACGGGATGCTCAGTATCTCTGTAGGGTGTGAACTCCCTCCCCAGGAGGGACAGAGTCCTCTTTATCTTTAGCCCCCTCTCTGACATTAGAAACTACGCTGCTGTCCGGTATGAAAAGGACAGATTATAATTCATTTTTGCTTAGAAATGAACCGAGTTGGCACCATCACGCCAGGCCGATAGACCATGAATCCACCCACTTAAAAGCGGCCGCCGTCGAGATTCGAGCCCGGGCTTGCCTCGTGCGAGAGCAGGATGCTAACCATCCATCCACTGGAGATGCGGGCCCGGCAGGCGGAAGTTTGTGATCAGAATAGGACTGGCTCAGAGTGAGTTGATGGATTTCGTAATTGTTTGATGCCTATCACGCATAGAGCCGACCTTTCGCACGGGATTCTGCATATTTGCACTTGCTTCCCTCTAAGGCTAACACTCCGCATATGCTTGACACGCACAACCATCTGAAAGATTTTTGGAGGGTGTATAAGCCCGGTTCATAGCCGCCCCTCATTCTGGAGGATGTATAAGCCCGGTGCGTAACCACCCTCTGTTTTGGAGGGTGTGTAAGCCCGGTGCGTAACCGCCCCCCCGTTTTGGAGGGTGTATACACGCAGCCGACCAAAAATCCTGGCATCAACGTCAGGCGGCGTGTGACGTCACAGGCCAGCTTACGTTGTGCTCACATGACATAACATAGGACAAATATTGGGCCATGATTGGTGCTGACAAACAAGCCAACGACAGATCGGACTCGGCCACAAACGCTGCTACCAAATTGCTAGTGTTTTTTTGAAAATGTCTTGATGCGGAATTTCCCCAGACAGTCCGTTTACGCTTCCGTTCAAAGATTCGCTATGACCATTTGAGGTACGCGCACGACTCGTGCTTCCCCGAGAAGACGTGCGGCAGTTATCGACGGCCAACGGCGTAGAGCTCCGGGCACATACAGGTAGGCGACTATTATCAACAGCATTGTTGGTTAGATAACGGGAATTTGGGACGACCGCTGATATTACCGACATATACCAGCCTATGAATGGACATACGGCATAAATTACCATGATTTTCCGACACAGCATCCCTGAAGTAGCATATCCTTTAGTCTCCAAGAAATAGTATAATTGAAGCCCTTTCCAGATCTGAAAAGTGAGTGAGGTCTTTCTGGACAGTATCCGCACCACTTGCAGGCGAAGGTCTAGGCTGTACAAAAATGCATGCTACGCTGTGCGTGGGGTGCATGATGGCTATGTTCTGGGCTCCGGCATTGATTTCAGCATGTGCACTCAGTAAACCTTGGCACCCTGAGTTGGCACATGGATGTCACCAATAATTCTTCAAAAGATTTTGATTTTGTAAAGGTAGTTTCAAGCATAAACTTATGAAAGTGTCACCAGTAAAGAAAAATTAAAGACTAACACACTCATGTTCATAAAGTTCCAAAATTTATCCAGCAGGGTGTAGTAGACATAAATATTGATTTATGCTACCAGAATCCTGTCTCCAGATGCCTAAACACAATTTATTGGCTTGAATCTGCTGCCCTTTGGCCTCAATCCACTATCTGACCTGTATGGCCCTTTGGTTAAGCCTGAGGCATTGGTTAAGTGTGATGCTGGGTTGTCTCTAGGTGCTGGGTTTTCTAATGCTGACTGTCCAATCTGGACAAAGAGGGGGGGGGGGGAGTGGGGCAACAAGCAGTGAACCCCAAGCCAGGGGTGAAGTAGCAGGTAAAGTAGTGACATCCCTGCCACCCCAGAAGCTGAATGCCAACATCCTCTATGTTCCAGGTTCAATGCATGGGCATAGCCTCTGTGGTCTTCATTTTTATATTTCCCCATTATCACATCATTCCCATTGTCATGTATTTAGTTCACCTCAAAAATTTAAGCTATGAAAGGTTGCAAACCTGGGCTCTACTTGGCATTGTAAAATAATCAGTCTCCCATCCCAAAATTGTGCTCATTGATTGTTGCCATTAATTGACAATGCTTCAGGGATATCTTTGAAATCCTTATGGATCTACTGATGAAAACTGAACTGAACAAACATGTATGCTTGGAGGCATTATCTGTGTAGCAAGGAATAGAATAAGCAAGGTGCACACAAGTTGTGTAAACTTCCTTAGTTTGCCTGATTTTTTTCAGGCTGCTTCAAGACCATTTTAGGAATGTGATAGTCCAACTGAAACATGAGTCTTTGGTATGCAGCGCACATCAGTTTCTCAGCTGTATAATGCATTTTTTAAAGAACTTTCCATGGATGGTATTGGTCCAAACTTGTTAAAGCCTTAAACCCATCCCCCCAAAATGATTCCACCCCATTTTGGTGGATATCTTGCCATACCATGCTATGCTCAGTACCATGGGAACCCTCTTTTGCCAAATTCAAGCTGACTGCTGCATGCATGCTTGCTCAAAACAGACACCATTCTCAGTTTATACCAAGGGGTGTGGTTTTAAGCTGTCTGCTACAATACATCCTCTGCTTCATAAGCATGCAACAGATGTCTGTTCTTTTCTGTGAACAGTCCACTTATGATGTATGCACATGGTAAATAATGTGTAGATTCCCCCCTGCTGACACCAGCTGGTTTAGTATTCAAAGTAGTGATTTATCTACTTCTTTGCACCCTGTGTGATTTGTTTTAACCTGCGTGGGGAAGCTGATTCTGCCCTCTTAAGGTTTAATAACTGTCCATTTCTGAAGGAACGAATGCCATTCAGTTTGTATCATTGGTAAGGATAAACAAGAACACAACTTAAAAATGGGATATGAAAAAAGCATACCTGGATAATGTCTGGTTCCATTTATATCCAGTGTACTTATACCCAGTGTAATTGAGTGGATGTTTTAGAAAAGCCACCATGTCTATATTACAGAGAGTATGCCACCCTTATTATACTTCAACATGTCATGTAGTCCAGTTATGTCAAATTTGGTGGGTAATGCACATTTCCTCAAAGTAAAGTAGCTCAGAATTTTGATTTGAAGTAGCTGCACCAGCAGGAAAATCTCACTAGAATTTACTCATCACTATGAAAGCAGTAATTACAATTTGCCCTGGTTTTCTAACCTGTATATTCTGTCTGCAATACCCTATGTTATGTTCTCATGGAATATCCTATGTTATGTTCTCATGCAATACCCTATGTCTATGTTTGTTATGTATTGTTGGGTTCTTATGCAATGGATGCTATAAAACTCAGAATGATAAATTTAGGGAAAAGATACACCATTACAGTACCATCATCCTGTAACTTCAATGAAATATCATACAATGGTGTTTATTTTCCTCACTGCCATTTGGCTCACTGGCCCTTTTTGAAGTACACTGGCTTTGGGCAACAGAATTTTATCAGCATGATTTATGGATATGGCTGAATAATTTGATTTTTAGTCTTAATTTGTCCCTAAATAGAACCGAAGTATACTAAATACCCTTGCTTTTGTTTGCCCTCACAGTGCATCTCCTGAAAAGCAAAAGGTCAGAGGGTCTATTGTGAATTCTTTCCAATTTCAAAGTTTGGCACTATAAGCAAGTGATGTAATTTATTTGGATGTGTGCTGGTGGCATGTGAAACGAAAAAATATGTACATAATGTAGTAATGTGCTTCCCGTTCTTTTCAGTATATCAGAACTCCTCTGCCCTCCAAGTGCTCCCAAAAGCATGTCTACGACACATACCCATTGTTTTATGATGGATAGGACTATATGAACAAACCTACAATCTTTATTGTACCCCAGAATGAACTGTCAGTGGGGTGGAACTGGGGGTGGGTAAACTGCGTGGGAGGGAATGCGGATGTACAGGATCTGTGATTTTATCATGCATCATCTCGGTCTCTTTTTTATTCTAATGCCACTCAGCAACCAACATAATAAGCCAAAATATGCTTTACTTATCCTGGTATAGGTGCGCCGAATGGCTCAACTGAGAAACAGCGGGTGCATGTCCCAAAACGGCAAAATGAGTCAAATTTTGCCGCCCAAACTTATGTTGTTTCACTTTACCACCCCATTCACCGGCCTTTCCCCAGAGTTGCCTCGACGTCCAGGCCCCGCTCGGCGTGTCTCCCGCCACCCGCCAGTCACGCATCACTCGTCGCGCGCCATGTCGTCTGTGATCCGGATCAAGCGGAAGGTGGGCGACGACCCGCACCTGGCGCTGGTGGCGGCCAAGCGCCGGCGCCTGGACGACGATGCCGCTGCCGATGCGGCGCCGGCGCCTGCCGAGGGCGCGGTGCTGCAGTTCGTCGGCACGATGGCGGCGCGGGAGGCTGACCTGCCGGCGGCGCTGCTCAGCTCAATCAGGTCGCAGCAGAAGCGGACCGACGGGCGGCGCGACGTCGGCACGGTGGCGGCGGCCATCCTGAAGGCCAAGGAGGCGCGCCGGCAGCGCCATCTGCAGGAGCAGAAGGTGCGCCGCTTCCGTGTGGTGTCGCGTCGGCGCGGGGAGCTCGACCTGTCGCCCGCTAGCGGCCACCGGCGGCCTCGCCGGCCTCATTGACGTGGAGGAGGAGGAGGAGGAGGCGAAGGCGGAGGGGGACGCCGCCGCCGGCGCCGCGCCGCAGCTCACTTGTAACGGCCAGGTGATGGAGCGGGTGGCTGCGGCCGACGCCAGCTGGGTGTACGACCTGTACGTGTCGAGCGCGCCGCTGCCGGCCGAGCTGGCGGACGACCTGCTGGAGCTGCGGCCGTGCTCCGAGCCGCTGCTCTGGGAGCACCGCGAGGCTCGGCACAGCGACAGCGACTCGCCGTTCGCCGACGACGCCGACGACTCGAACGCCGAGGACAACTGGCGCAACGATTACCCGGACGAGCTGGGTGACTCGGACTATGAGCGCTACCTCGACCCGGAGCAGGGCGCCGAGCTGGACCTGATCCGCCGGCTCGAGGCGCACGAGCTCGGCTCGGACAGCGACGAGCCCCTCGCCTACGGGCTCGACGAGGGCGGGTCCGAGGACGGCGACTCGGCCGACCCATACGAGCGGTACAAGGCGCGCGTGCTCCGCCAAATGGGCGGCGGTGAGAGCGACGAGGAGGCCGGCTACGAGGCGGACGACGGCAACGACAGCGGCGACGACTAGCGTCGGCGCGCGCTCGGCTACCGGCCAGTGACTGGCTGATTTGAGAGCTGCTGGTGACATGTGTTGGAGTGACGCTGGCCAGGCTGTTCGCGTGATGCAGCGTAGCACCCGCTTTTGCCTACCATGTGACGGTGACTACATTTCGCCCGCCATGTGACGGTGTCTACCTATCGCCCGCCGTGTGACGGTGTCTACCTATCGCCCGCCGTGTGACGGTGTCGACCTATCGCCCGCCGTGTGATGATGACTTCCGCGACCATTTGTGCCGCTTTCACCCCTGCCCCTGCGCAATAGCTGTGGACGATGCGAAGAAGTGTTGCTGTGACTCAGTCTTAGGATGTTTCGCCAATTTTTGGTCCTTTGGGGATGTTTTTGCTATTTGTTTGTATTTTCTGTTCTGGTAAGACCATGCAAGTGTTTTCTAGATGGCGTTAACGCTTATCAACACTGATAACACTGGTGACGCTTATCAACATGTGCTGTGCTCATCCAGGTGCATGCACCCCAAAGGACTCAAGTGACAAACAACAGGTGTGGGTGCTCGATAAGACTGCCCATCTTGCGTCTCGACGTCGCCTTTACCTTGGATTTTGACCTGAACCGGTTTAGTTTGTGACGCTTATCGTGGCCTTGGTATTTCTCAGCCCGAAATATAAGCTGATAAGTAGCACGATATCCGCTGTTCTTTCTGATTGGATATTTTGGCGATATTGCTTCCTGGGGTTTATCTGGGCAGGAGGTTGTCGCTGAGAGATCTTGTGTTTGATGCAAGTTTTGCGCATCTGAGCACAACTGTTGCCGTCTTTACAGGTGTTTATTCACATACGCCAGCCTGTGTGACAGCAAGGAAATATGTGATAAATGGGTCACGTTCAACGCATTTTGATATCGGTAATTTATGCTCTTTGTAAGAGTGATTATATTCTGGACACTGTTGAGGGGAAGGCGAAGGTAGCATGCGTGTATCATTTGCAGCTAAGATTAGGCGACGAAAAAGGATAACCAAACATTTTACATCGAAACGATGGAGTGGCGTGAAGGCGCCAATGCACCTCAGGCTATTACTTCTCAGACATCGCTCGATGGAATCCTAACATATGCCTTAGTTATGCCTAGTTTGTCCTACCCTGCATCACTTATGTCTGCGTCGCCTTATGTGCCGCCACGTCTTCATTAATCCTAACACAAATGTAATTCGTGATGTCTCAACCACTGCAGCTGTGCGAGTATGGAGTGCATGAAGCAGACCGTCGGATGTTGCATTGTTCAGAACAGCTCGTCTTGGGAAGTATCACTACGTAGGTCGTAGCCCTCATTTGCGATGTGATCCTGGCATTTCATTGTGTTTGTAGTTCGCTCCTCCCCGCAGCCTCGCCTGTGACTTCAAATGTTAGACAACCTGCACGTAAAACTACACGCCCAGGCAATCCTCCATGTCCGCGAAGCTGGCGATCTATTCAGCGATCAGGGAGAACAATTTGTATCTTTCGGGCAGCTATGCTCCCCAATGTTGAGCTGCCCACTCTCAATGTTGGGCTGGGGCCCCGCGGTATTGCGCTGGGTCCCCACAATATTGGACGGAGTTTCTACAGTGTGGTACCTGGCGCCCAATACCTATCCCTTCTTCAAAATATTTGATGATAATTTAAATCTTGCAAGCTGGAAGCGCATTTAAAATCCAAGGTTATGCTTGTATGTGTCCTTGTATGTATGTATGTGTGTCCCTGAGATACGGCAAAACTGAAGTGATGGACTATTAGTTCAAAAGTTTCTTGCGCTGCGCTGGTGAGATGAAGCGGTAACACCGCATTTCAGACAACCTTGAACGAGTGTAAGATTCAGGCGCGTCTTTGCAATCGGCCTCGTGCTGCGCAAGTCCCAGGTTGTTCAATGGATGCCCCACAGCCATTGTGGAACCCACAGACAACGTTGCAATTTTCTAGGCGTACGATTAGGTATTGATCTAGGATTTCGTGAAGGAAGGGCCCACGCTTCACTGTGGAACTGGAGCTTAGTGCACTGAAACTTGAAGTCTTCCTCTCTTTCTGTAAAAGAGCGCATTGTGCGTTCGCCCGGGCTCGTCCAAAAACCGACTGGCGCCTGCCAGCGTCGGGTCCCTGCCGCCGCATCAGCGGCCGACTCTTTACCCCCGGCAAATCGGGAGACCCGCGGTCACGTGACGCCCCCCGGCACCCAGTCAAATGTAGGGCTCGGAAGACAGCGAGAGCGAGGGCGCACATCCCGCACAATCACACCACGCTCTCAAGAGGTCCCGGTATTTCGGCCATTTCATTTCCAGATCTCTATTTTCTAATCGAGAAACCATCGTCCTCTGCGCATCGTGGAGGGATGGACATAGGTGAATATATGCATGTACACGGCGCACGCTCATCCTTTTTCCAGAGATGGATCCTTCCAATGATGCTTTTCCTTATTCGTCGTGGAAAGAAAACGAAAGTGGAGAGATAGATGATATAATTGGCTGCATGCCTTTATATAAACGAATATCAATAGTGCGTATAAGAAATTATACCACTACGTAGTACGCACTACTAAAATGCGCGTAATCGCATTATAGAATATGAAATCAGTATCAAACGGATATCTAACTGCTTCCCACACCTGGTCATTGTTCCGTTTATTCTGCGAGGAATAAGGCTATTAATACTGTCTCGGCTATACGCATAATGCTCCTCGCAAATACACTCAACAACTTACGTAAGCAATTACTTACCATCAAAGTCAGGCATAACACGACTCGACTGACAAGCCATCATCACTAAAACGACGACGAAACGAGCAGAAAATTGCCTTTTACAGGTCAATGGCCTTACATGGATGGTTGTGTGCCATTGAGGGTTTGCGGCGTTATTTAGTCTTTGTCTTTGTGGGGACGCTTGCCTCTCACCCTGGCAGGAAGGGTGGGCACTGTGGGGAATCGAACCACATAGTAAATGCTCAAACGCAAAAGCAGTACATTGCTCACGACGATGTCTAAGTCGCAATGCCACTCAACTGACATGTCCTGATACGAAAGTTGAAATATTGATGGAGATGGCAGAAAGCAGCGAGAAAGCAGCAGAAAGTCGTATTTTGCTGACACCATAAACTTGCTTGTGGCAAAGCACACCTATACCCATCTCCTTGGAATATTTAAATCGTTTTGTGTCGTTGACGAGAAAATAATCCATTGTTGTACTACATGTTTTGGGCATATTGACCGAGCACAAAAACTGCCCACATTCTAGCTGAGGGATGTGACTCGAGCGATGTATAGACAAGGCGAGCTCCACAGATTCAAACACAGAGGGAAAGTTGTCTATGGGATACCATAGGCTTTTTATGGAAGGCTTCTAATCATTCACAGGGAAAACGTCATGAGAGAACCTTTTTCAGTTTAGATGTTGTTGGTTTATATGAAATATACCAGTCAATGAGGCTATCGCTGCCGTGAAATCTAAGGTAGACGATCATTTCCATGACATTGGTGCTCTTGATCTAACAAAACAGGATATTTGCGGTCTTTCTAGAACAATGTTGTTTGCTTGTTTGTTTGGTTATTTAGGACATGCGCAGTCCACAGCCAAAGTCCAACTGCGCAAGCAGCCCAGTTTTAAAGACAATAAGCGTACGACACACACACACAAACAAAAAACCTAACCACACACACACACATACACATTGCGCACACAGTCACACATGCACCCTACGCACTCAGGCACAGCGGTCATCAAAAGAACGCGCCATGGCTGTCGGCGAGCCTAAACAAATCAGATAGAAATTATTTTATTGGTTAGATAAAATCGGTCGAAGGAGAACGCCGTAGAAAACGATTTCGGCAATGGGTAGACGTGTGACAAGCCCATCTTTAAGGGTGTGAACATTTGGATTTTTGAAATTTGTGGAAAACTGCCCTGGCAAAAATTGCCTCCAGGCTAATGTCGTCGGTTTGGGGATGACTAATATCGACAGCAATCGGCATGGTAATGAGAAACCTATTCCATCATTTTCTCTGGCGATCATATTTTTATACCAATTTGAAACTAATCCCCTGGCCGCCAGCCCATTTCAAACCACTTTCAGGGCAAGATACATCGATAGTTATACTGGAGTTTGGACGCACGGACGGCATGTCCTTAATTCTTTTGAGTTAATGAATAATCCGCATGCCAATTCATCGTTTACTTGGGGCATGCAGGGGACCAGAGGGATGCCGTGCATAAGCCTTGCCAAAGTCAGGTTTTCTCAAGCTTTGTAGAGGGCGGTGACATCACTGGAGCTTAGGCTTCAATGCGGCGCGGCGCTAGCCGTATCGCAGTTGCTTTCCGCCAACGCTGCGCGACAGCCGGGACATAGGATGTCCTCGCACAGATCATGAATAAACTGCTCCAATGTGAGGTGCATATGACCAGGAAGTCGATCACGTGCAATTTATTGGTGAATAGGATGATATGCTTAGCAAGCCTATGCGGCTGACCGTTTGATCTAATGCAAAGACATGTGAAAAGTGTAAACGTGCACATTGGAATCACGCGAGAAAAGACGGCCAAAGCAACGGGTTCTCCACGTATTAACAATGAACAAACTGTCAATGGCAGGTGCATATGACCAACAAGCCAGCCGCGTAGAATTTAACGTAGAAAATGAAGAATTGCTTTGAAAGCTTATGCGGCCAACCATTACCAATGAAATCGGTGTTGAAATTGGTAGCCCTTACGCAAAGACTGCTGCAGAGATAGGTGGCTGGGATATTGGATTATCTTCGTACCGATATCAAACGAGCTGTCGGGATAGGTGCATATGACTAGGGGGTCAAATGCTTGAAATTTGATGTTGAATGTGATGCTGTGCTATTTACAAGTGAATATACCTAGCGTTTATAATTAAATCGGCGTAAAAAGCGAAAACGTGCACACTCAGGATGATAGAGATATGCAGCATGAATATCGGGCTACTTCCTCACCGAAAACTAACATATTTTTACAAGCAAGTGCGAATATCTCTCAATCAATCAGCTGGAATTAAGTGGCAAGTATAAACAAGTGCTTTGCAAACTTATATTTAACAAAGCTGTTGAGATTCAATCGCCGTGAAAATGGAATACGCATAGGCATGCAAGGCCGCGGGTACTAGGGAAGGGATGGGTCCACAACTCTCTAAGAATTTGACATCCATTCCACAGGTCTTGACGAAGAAAGTAACTCAAGTATTTGCGCCTTCCCGCCCCCCCCCCCCCCCCACCCACTTCGGCGAAATTTCATTACCCCTGCCGTCTTACCGTTATTTCATTTTTTTACCAGATGTTATGGCTGGCTGTGATGCAGTGACGCAGTGCTATGGGAGCTATTACGAGGCACCTGTGTTGCGGCGGAAGACTGAGCAAGTGGCAACCGACGCCAAATACAACCAGCCATGGACCAGGTCCACACAAGCGCGCGCATCGCCCATCGTTTGCTTGGACATGCTGCTCGTTTGCTTCGCCATTTTGCCTCTCTGTGTAGGTGTGCTTTCCGCACAGACTATGATCAGGGATGAAGTCAACTATAATCATTGGAGCGCACTACCACTCATGTGCCGGTACACAGGGATTCATCGGCCGCACAGTTAACGTTATTCCGGCTGAAAATAAACGTATCACAGATGCATTTGTCGTGCTCTGCACCCTATTTTGGC